AAATATAAAATATGCCTTGTTTATTCAATGATCAAAATCACATATATATGGATCACAAAGGATGTAGACTCTTCCATACAAATATTGTTATAACAACCATAACAATTATTTACCAGCACACCACCTTGCCAGCTCACACACTAACATTCTCCATACTTTCCACATCTTCAGAAGCACTAGTTGAGACATAATGATTGCGTTGAAACTCAGAAAAGTAATCACGAGAGAGATGCTTGGTGAACCCATCCACCATTTGATATTGCACAGGGACATAATTAACACAAATTGAACTATCGTCAACCTTTTCTCGAACAAAATGAAGATCTAGCTCAACATGTTTTAAATGGGAATGAAGAACCTGATTTGCACTCATCTAACCGCACTTGTGTTATCACTCTATACGACGAGTGTGGTGATACATGCCATCCTCATTTTGAACATTAATGCATGAATCCACGTAATGTCAGCAATAACATCAGCAATTCCATGATATTCTACTTTATTGGTTGAGTGAGACACCGAACGTTGACGTTTCGAGCTCCAAGAGACTAAGTTTCCTCTAAGAAAAGCATAAAAACTGAAAATCACTCGTCGATCATCAATATTACTTGTCCAATCAGCACCAAAAAATGCCTCCAATTCTAATCTTAGACATGCCTTGTAAAAAATCAAACTAAAATCAAGAGTGCCTACCAAGTATCGTAATATACGTTTCACAACTACCTAATGTTACCCACGAGGACCATGCATAGATTTAGCAACCTTGTAGACACTAAATGCAATGTCGGGTTGAATGTGATTCAAGTATAGAAGAGCACCAACCACACTTCTATATAGTTGAACATCAAGTAACAGGCTCCCTTATCCTTACAAAGTTTCAGGGTTACGACCATTAGCGTAAGAACAGGATGAGCACTTTTCATGCTTGTATGTTCAAGTAACTCAAGAATGGACTTCTTTTGACGAAAGATAAGAGTACGAGAGTCACACTGAACTTCTAACCCCAATAAGTAGTTTAATTCACCCAAATCTTTTAGAGAGAACTATTGGCCTGATTGGGTAACAAGTTGTTCCAAATCATATTCATTGTGACTCGTAATGATAATATCATCGACATACAAAAGAATATAACCAAACTGATCGTCTATCTTCCGAATAAATAGAGATACATCCACTTGTGTTCCTCGAAAGCCAAGTTGAAAAAGGAAAGATCGGAGCTTTGTATGCCATGTGCGAGGAGCCTGCTTAAGACCATATAGTGCTTTCTCAAGTTTACACACTAACTTCGAACCATTGGTTGTAACTTGTTCAAATACCATAGGCTGCACTATGAACACTTCCTCATGAAGATCTCCATTAAAGAATAAATTATTGACATTAACTTGTCGTAACTTCCACCTATGCATAATTGCTAGCGAAAAAATGACTTTAACCGTGGTTGGTTTGATAACCAGGCTGATTGTGTTGTGGAAATCATGACCAAGAACTTGAGAAAATCCCTTCACCACCAATTGAGATTTATACTTGGCCAGCGACCCATCCGCATATTTCTTAACACGAAACAACCATTTACAACCTATAGTGCTCCTATCCGGAGGTAACGGTGTCAATCACCACGTATGGTTGCTAATCAACGCATTATATTTATCTAGAACAACTTCCCACCATGCAGGGAAAGCTAACGCCTGATACACAGTAATAGGTTCTTCATTATGAACCAAAGCTTGCATAGAGAAGACCTTAGGCTTGAAGATGTCGGCCTTGTTTTGAGTGACCATCGAGTGAACATTAGATGAGAGAGACAAAATGTTGGCAGGTTGAGGAATATTTGATCCATGTGCATCAACATACCGATCTTCATTCAAAACATCAACAAATGGTGTTGCAGGCATATTAGGAGCTGTGTCGTCAAGCTATCATAACCATTTTTTTAAAAACAATTTAATATCATCTAAAAAAAAATTATGACTTTATTTGAGAAATAGACGATTTTGAATTAATTTGAAAATTTTGAATTGGAATTGCCATCGACCTTTGGGCTAGGTAGGTCGAATACCTAAAAACGTCATTTAAAACAATTTTAAGGAAAAATTATTTTTTAAGACAAAAATTGGTCTGCGTTTACCAAAAACTCGACTTAACGGGTTCAGGAGTCAGTTACGCGTGGGGAAGGATTAGCACCCCCACAAAGCCCAAAATTGGTACTTAGTCGCTTATATAGTGTCGCGGTAATGGAAATTATAAATCAAATATAAAGTTAGAATATGATCCATTTATTAAAGTTTACTTAATTTATTACAAATTAATTATTAGAGAAAACTCTTTAACTTGAAAAAGAAATCTCGATATTAGCAATCCTCCATCAGGAAGACTATCTCATCTATTTCTTATCTGTAAAAGAATATTCTTTCTTCAAATTGTTTAAATATTAAGCCGAATTAGAAATTAATATCAGAATTCGCAAAAAATAATTCGTTACTTTTTTATAAAAAATAAATAAATTATTAATATAGAATAAAATAAAATAACATAAAAAATAGGACAAAATAAAATAAAATAAAGATATTGCTATCATTTAATAAATAAACAAGCACGATTGATTTCAAATTCATCATTCATTTGAATGTTGTATCGAATTGCACTAACTCTATAAGATGGTACTTTTCACACCTATTCTATGACGGATGTCTTTAGAAAGTATTTGAACAAGAGACATTTAAAATATTATTACTTAATTAAAAAAATCTGACGAAAATACAAATATGTACATAAATAAAATATGTAAAACATATGAATATATAAACACATAAACATACACATATAAATATTTAATATGACAACCCATGCATTGGGATATTTACAACAAAAATATAGATGCTACTTTTAAAGTACTAATATGCATTAAATAAATAAAACATAGATCAAATCAACAAAATAAAACAAAAACATGGAGCTAAACAGATAATAATCCATATTTTTTAGGCTAAAACATTGATTAATTTATATATACTAAGATATATAGGGACTGATGACACAAATAAACTGATATCGGACAAATATTAGACAAAATGGACTAAAATGAAATAAAAAATAAATGACTAGATTAAGCCAAATATTTAAACAAAACATTACATCATATGTACAATGACTAAAACATAAAAATAGAAACGTGAAAGGCTTGAATTCATAAATATCCCGTTTCATTTCAAACCTGCATACCAGATTGCAAAACTCAGGGACCTAAAATTGCAATTTTCCCTGAAACTTATGTAAACACAGGAATGGGGTGAAACTATATAGTTTCGATCCGTGTATATAAGCCCGGTTTTAGGGCTTTTCCCTCATCATCTCCCCATTTCTCAATTTGTTTCAGAAAAGGGAGATCGGGAGAGAGGGTCGCCGTTCACCAACGGTGTTTCATGGCCGCTCACGGTGGCTAGAGGAAATAACCCCCCCCCCCAAAACACTCCTCTCACCCTCCTTAGCCCGAATCCTATCTCCCTTTAGCCTAAAACTCACCCTAGAGTCCTAAATCTAGGGTTTACCTTTCAAAGACTCAAAGATCCGGTGACCCTTAAGTTTTTCGATGCTTCGAATTGAGGTAGGTGTTTCTCTCTTTGTTATTTTTTTCTTTTGTTCGTTCAAATGCTTTATTTTTGTTGTTGTTGATTCTTGTTTTTTTGTTCCACCTCCCTTTTCTCTTTCTTCTTCCTCCTTTTATCTTGCATATGTTGATTTTGGTGATATCCTTTGCTCCTACCAAGATTATAGGATATTATTATCCTATTTTAGCTTATGACAGGGAGGATTTCCTCGGGATTTCATTTTGGATTTTTTGTTATATTTTATTGGTTTTTTAGATTGATTTGACATTTTTTTTACTATTGACGTTGATTCCCGATCACTGTAGATTGAAATGGCGGTGTCAGAAGCATTTTGCGACGGTAGCGGCAACAGATAGTGGCGGCGGCAGCAGCAACTCTCTAGGGTTAGGGTTTCAAAAACCCTAAGTGGTTACTAATCTGGACCGTTGATTTGGGTCTAGATCGTGTGGACGAGATTGAGCGGCGATGGGAAGAGAAGAAACCCTAGTCGGGTTTGGGTTCTCACACTCGGGCCTAATCTTGGGCTTCGGGTCAGCTGGTTGTAATTGAGTCTAGATCTGTTGGGTTGATTCATTTGGGTTTTGTTGTTGTTGTAGTTGGGCTTCGAGTTGAGACTACAAAAAAAGTAATTAGAATAATAATAATAATAATAATAATAATAATAATAATAATAATAATAATAACAATAATTAACAAATAATAATTAACAAATAAGACCCAAACAAAAACGAATATTGAAAAAAAAAATCACGATGCTGCCCCACTTAGTAAGACCGGTCAGAATTTAGATGTTATATCCATCAATAAGTTGGAATAGTTGCATATCCCTAATTTTTTTAGATGCGATATCTAGGGTATAGCAGGTGTGAATTTAAGGATGATTACCTAAGTCAATTGGATTAAGTTTATTTATTTTTTTTACATATTTCTATTAGAAATAATCAAATGTAAGAAAGCATTTTATCATCATTTATGTTCATGATCAAATGTTACATATTCAAAACTAAGCCTCTTAACCAGCCACAAATATGTGTGATTAAATTGAGATTTTCTTTTTTGTAAGCATGCCAAATTTGTGACGTCATCGCACAGGCAGTGCCAATTCAGCATCAAAATGGACATTTCTCCTTCATTGGTCTCGACATTGATGAACTTTAAGGAAGAGAATCAAAAACATTATGGCCTTGAAAGTACGATTAAGACCTCGTGACCACCCAAAGAAGTGCACATGGAAAAGAACAAGACACCAACATACAGAAACTACTACAAATAACAAGCACATGGAAAAGAACAAGACACCAACATACAGAAACTACTACAAATAACAAGCAAAACCTCAAAATTATCTATATTTTGATTTAGAGCCGTTTCATAATTGACGCTTAATTGTGAAGAAAGATAAAATTAAGAGTAATGGAAGATGTAAAGGGAACAGTGTGTGTGACAGGAGGGACTGAGTTCATAGCTTCAATGCTGATCAAGAGGCTTTTAGAAGAGGGTTACTCTGTTCGTACAACTGCTAGACCTGATACAGGTAACATTATTCCAAAACAAAGAAATCAAAAACATTTCTTCTTATTCTAAAGAGTGGTGTGATATGTGAGCAGAAAACAAAAGAGACCTTAGTTTCGTCACCAATCTTCCGGGGGCAGCCGAAAAGCTCAAAATCTTCGGTGCAGATCTTAATGATCCCCATAGTTTCGATGCGGCCATCAAGGGGAGCAAAGGAGTGTTCCTTGTTGCCACTCCTGTGGATTTCCAGAACAAAGAACCCCAGGAAATCGTAACCGAAAGGGAAATCAGTGGAACACTAGGCATCTTGAAATCATGCTTGAAATCAAAAACGGTGAAGAGAGTTGTATATACTTCTAGTTTAGCCACCGTTGTACACAACGGCCAGGATTCGGACATGATGGATGAGAGTTTCTGGTCTGATGTGGATTTCATTAGAGAAAAAGAAACCCCAAACTTCAGTTCCTACTCGATTTCCAAGACATTGACAGAAAGGGCGGCTCTTGAGTTTGTTGCAGAACATGGAGTGGACGTGGTGACACTGATTCCTGGTCTTTTTGTTGGTCCTTTCATATGCCCCAAGTTCCCTGGCTCGGTGCACATTTCATTGGCTCTGCTCTTAGGTACATGCTACCTACTAGTTATAAGGAATCATTCTGAATATAATTCATAAAATTAACATTTTTTATTTGATTTAATCATGAGAGAAGTGTAATGCACTGAGACAGTGAAGGTAAATAATTTTTACTGGGAACCATCCGAATATAGTTAATTTCATTTTTGCGAAAGGGAGCGAAAGGGAGATACGATTGTTCTTCATGCACCATGAGTCTTCAAAAGTTGTCTGGATTTTTAGGTGGCAAGTACCCACAGTTCCCAATTTCCACACCTGAGTAAGTGATCATCTCTTTCTCAAACTTACGATATAATAATCATGGAGTAACAAAAAACTAATTTCCCCTAACTTGTTCTTGCTTTGACAGATCCTTAGCAGAAATCAAAGGTAGAAAAAATCCTGGATTGCCATCATAGAAATCATTGGAGACAGGTTTTAAATATAATTATGGGGTTGGAAGAACTGTTTGATGACGCCATCAATTGTTGCAAGTAAAGAAGATATCTCTAGTTGGCCTATATTAACCATTTCTAATATAATATATAAATATATTTACATCATGCAGGGAACAAGGGCATGAAAGAAGATGCCTTTAAATTGATTCAAATAAGGGCATGAAAGAAGATATCTTTGAATCGATTCAAATAAGGACATGAAAGAAGATATGTGGATGAAGCTTTTCTATAATGTAAATCTAATAAACCAATGTATGTTGATGATGTTTTATGGATTCAAATTCGTTAGGATTCCTCTCTCTATGATTTTGTTTATATAAACTATTGGTGTGCATGTTGAATTTCCTTGGCAGTGCAAACGAGATCATATATCGTCTCCACCTTATATTATGCATCATTTATTTCTTGTAACACCTCTTGTTTGATTTGTAAGTTTATTTAGATAAAAAAATACATTCATGTGTCAAAATAGAACGAAATCAAATTTAGACTAAATTCGAACACTTTTAATATTCATATCAAAGACTATACCAAGTCACATGAATCATACCGCAAACAATTTAAAAATTTATAGCAATTATAATTTAACCAACCAAATATTAAGATTCCGTAACAAATTTTATACGTATTGATACATGCATAAGGGTATCAATTGTTGGAAATATTATATTGAATTTGACGAATCAAGATACGAAATAAATAGTTAGAAGCATGTACAAGATATTTCTTTTAAGGATATTTCATCGTATACCGTATCCTCTACGATTAAACTAATTCTTCTACTAAAAAAACGAGACTCAAAAAACAACAATAATTTTGAAGAATATACTCAACAAACTCACTCAAAAGGAAAAGGGATGAAGAGAACAAGAGGAAGAGTGAACTTTCTAATTTTGGTGCATTTTAGAATGGTTGAGGGGTTTGATATTATAACCTTCTCCCTCGATTACAATAACATAGGTTGTTGTGAAAATTAGAAGAATGGTTCTCCACTAGGTAAAATGGTTTAAAATAGATTTAAATTAAGATAAAAACAACTCCAAGTTGTTAAGTTACCTGATGTTAATTTATTTTACAAAAAATTATTTTTAAAAATTATTTTCAATGAAATAAACAAATCTACTCCGAAAGATTCAGCTGGAGATGTCTTATCAATGATGCTGCATCAACTCGAACAATATCTACTAATCTACAAACAAAATAATCCGAACAAGTTCAATGATATACTATATTTCACAAAAATCATAAATATAAGCATACAACCAAACATAACGTAGAGCATGTCATAGGCATTCAATAAGTAAAATTATATAATTATAAACGTCAATCCTCACATAACGACTTATATACTCAATTCAATCAAGCCTAACGTAGAGCATGCCACAGGCATTCATTCAATAAGTACAATTATATAGTTATAAATGTAAATCCTCACATAACGACTTATATACTGAATTCACTCTATTGGATTGAATATCAACCAGCATATATCATACGCAAGAATAATGGTTCAAACATGATTGCACATGTACTCAATCACAGGGCGTGTGTATATATATATATATGGATAATCCCTCGCCAGTCATGGCCAAAAATCGAATTATAATATAAGATCCATCGTGACTCATCGTTCACCACATATATAGTCGCATATATCAAATCTATAACTCATCATTTGTCACATATGACAGCAAATATTAATCGATGTCACTCAATACTGCAAACTCAAAACAATATAGAACATCAGGCCTTACTTGGCTCCGTGATCAACACTTGTGGTTGCAATTCAAGAATATTATCGTTCGAACTCGAATCAAAATTCCCAATAGGCAACATGTTAATCTAAAGTTGCCGTGGTGATATGCTCCTAGTAGATATGTATGGATAAGAAAAACCAACAAAACTAGTAAAGAATCCATGCGGAAGACCAAAGGTTCCTCTTCCATTTAAAATTTTATCAAGTATATAATTATTTCCTACCAGATCAATCCACATAAAGTCAACTGCAATCTGAAATCAGAAAATAGTTCAGTTCAAACAACGGAAAGAGCAGAAAATCGATCAATCTTTGCGAAGAATCATGTATTCCCGGCGGATCCTATCAGCATTTATGATAACTATTTCCAGTTTGTCTCCCTGTTTGTTCAACACAATATTTTAAAAAAGTCAAAGACTCAAAGAGTTTGAATTCACATGATAGCAAAATTCAACCAAGAGCAATAGGAAAACTGCTACAAGCCGTAGCAAATTTTATTTTCAGCTGGTATCTTGGAAGGTAGAACATATGAGATTACTTGTATTAGATATTATCAAGCCCGGGTAACAACCAGCATGTTGTGCAGATAAATCAATGGAATGCTTTCAAATTCCCTATAAACATTCCTCAAGAGGCCACACATATAAGACCAAAATATCTCATTAATGCTGCATCTTAATTGGAAATCAATAGTATCATGAAGGATGTAACTGAAATCCAGTATTGATAGAAAGGGAGCAATGCAAGGAGAAATAAAATAATACAAAAATTAGAAGCAGATTTGGCTTGACAGACACTAACCAATGTTGTTGTTTCAGGAAAAAAAAAACCCATCCATCTTTAAATAAACTAAATAAAATAAAACTCACGGTGTATATATCTCTTTCAGATGCCGAAGCAAAAACAGTTTTTACTAAATCAACAGCTTCAGCTTCTGCAAGAGGAGTAACAGCATCCTGTAACACAATATTTTTGAGATTAGAAAAAGCACAAGGTAATTGAACCAAACATAAAATAATCAAAAGTAGGAGGATACCTGGACAGGCAACAGGAGTGGGCTTGGAGATTTCAGTTGGTTATCCAAGAAAGGCATGATAAGTGTTGAACCAGAACCTTGAGAGCTGTATCCGACCTTCTCATAGGAACCAACGGCATCATATGTGAAGACACAACCCTTACCTAATGGTTTCAGATAGGACTATTCAATTTATATTCATAATAGAATGAAAGGCTTAAAACTAGCAACTAAGGATCAAGGAAGATACCTTCGTTATTGAGTCCACCCAAAACATTAAAAGAATAATAAGGAAAGAACCGCTTGTAATAAAGGGTGTTCGACAGCAGTTGGGCCATTGCCGGACAGCTCATTTGCTTGTTGTGCTGATACTGATAAATCTGAATTTTGAAAAGCAACATTGAAATCATAAATTTATTATATCAGCTATGGTAGACGTTTTACCAGTATTACTGATCATGCACTTGTCCTTAAATTTCTAAGCTACACCAAAGTTTGGTTGGTAAGGTACAAAAAGATTAAACAAGTGAAGCTAGCATTCAATTTCGATTTGTCCTTAAAACTATTGTAGTACACTTGACTCTGCAAACGCCAAAGAGAAAGTGAAGCAAACATTCAAGCGCAAAACAAATATTCCATCATTTCAAAAATTGAAAGCTCACCAGGTGCCTAGCTGCCAGATGCTTTTGTAAAGCCTTCACATCAGCTTGAAATCCAGAGGATGCCATAACACATTTTATCCGCTCTGCAATGTAAAAGAGACTCTAATGAAAATTCCTAGACAGAGAAAGAAGATAAAAGCGGAGAAAATTTTCATGTCAATAGCTAGAGATTATCCCCATTAATACTTAAAATGCTCCAACCAAATTGCATTGTTTAAATATTAGCTATCGTCTTCCAAATATAAATACCACATATCTTAGTCTAATGGTGGAGAACAAATAAACTATGGCACACCCTTCTCTTTACTTAACTATTTTTTTATTAAAACAAGTGGACTCCTTACCTCTAGAATTCCACAACAAGAACAATATCAATCAAATTGCACTCCCGAAAACTGCCCAGTATTTTACCCTTACTTTAACTGTAAACCACATCAACTGTAGGGTCCTTTAAACCATTGGAGGCAAAACTACTTTAAACATACCTTAAGAAACAAATATTTTTCGCAACTGTCAAAAAATTTCTTAGTTTCTAACTAAGAATCAACATTTTATTCAAAGACACCTTCAGAAGAAATTATTAGTTACCGTCCCCTCCAAAGTTGTATTACTTTTAAGTCAATTTTCTCAGTAATTTCCCATTTTAAGAACCAAGGGATTGCATTGAAGAACTTACAATTTACAGATTTTAGAGTAGTCACGGGTAAGAATGTTGTAACCCGTCGACATCCGAGTGTCAGCAGCGATTACACAATAATCGGCGCCGGCAACTGCAACGCAAGATCTGCAATTAACACACACAAAAAATAGCATCAACAAACACTGAAATCAAACAAAAGAGAACTCGGTTTCTATTTTGATGGAAGAAAGAGAAATACCCTCCATTGTTGTCGTAAGGAGACCAGTTAGCTTGCAGCTTGGGCATGGTGAAAGGAGCAAGGAAAGAAAAATAAAAACCGCTATTTGAGGGGTGAAAAGAACTTTTTGTTCCGCAGATTTATTTTTAACAAGAAGAATGGAGCTTTTCCGTGTCGGGTTCGGGTCGGTCTAGGCTTGTCTAGACCAAATAGTCTGGTGATTCGGTTTTGAATATGTGAAGCTCAGGAGTTCGGTAAAATTAGTCCAATAGGTCAGGAGTCAGGATAATCAAATAATTGAGGTATTAGTTAATCTTTAACACTAATTTGAGATTAACATAATTGTTATAATGACTTAAAATTCGTGACATGATGAGTTTAAATAAAAAAAATATTATTTAGATAAATTCATTATGTGGACTTAATGAGTTTTTCACTCTCCGTAATATTTATCATATATTTTAAATTAATTTTTTAAATAATGAAATATATTTTTATCCGTTTAACATATTGAATCAGTTTTATCTAGGAGTTGGGTCTGATGGTATCTCAGTCGTCAACGAATTATAAACCCATTATAGGATTTGGGGCTTAAAAGGATTCAAATGCCTCATTTTGATGCCACGGTAATTTAGAATTAGTTCAATAAATTACTAGTAGCAATGAGTGAA